TGTGAGATAATAAACTCCCATCACCTAAGCCACCTTGTCCATAGTACTTTGCTATAACAGCTCTAGCAAATGAATACAGAATCCCAGTGGATCACTAGTTAAGTAATTACAGAACATATTGAGGGTTAAGATTAATGTTCTGAATACATAATGCAAACATACTGATAGGAGTATTGCTATGCTCTGCAGATGACTGTTTCATTCACATTTAAAATCCATATTAACAGAAAAATAAAGTGAAATAGGAAGTAATCAGGAATATGAAGCTAACCTTAAGGAGAGAGGCTAAAAGAGACTAAAAGGCTCGGGAGTATTTAATACACAATGAATAAGGCTGAATTTAGCTGTGCTTTTCTAGTACTGGCACACACAGATGTTTTCTAGCCCAACACAAGAGAGAACTGGAGGTGAGAAGCACACATAAGGTGAAATAAAAGAAATTAAATAAGGCATCAACATTTCCTGACAGTGGGAGTGATTTTTTAAAAATAATTTTAAAGTCAGCACTGCTGTTTTACATGGAGATGTTATGAAAATTACTATTTTGAAGGACTTTTTAATGTACAATAAGCAACACTTCTCCTGGATGGCTTGGCTACAAGGGCTACACTAATTACCCTTTTGAAAGCCCACAATTCTGTTAAACAAAATTAAATTTCTCCCTGCCAAGGAGCACATCAAGTTCTGCAGAGGTTTAGTAAGGTGGGCCTGGGTGCATAATGAGACTTACAAGCCTGAACTTCACAGGGGTCTTTTAAAACAGAGATTTGTGCTGCCCAGAATACACCAGCCTACATGAGGAACAAAAGTTTGGGAGCTTTTTTTTTGCTTGTTTTTATTTTTTTATTTTAACTATTAAACATGATGATGCCAGTACAGCTGTGGAAACACAGGCTGTGCCCTATTTTGCCTTATGCATCATCAAGAAAATTGCCAGCTCAATTCTGATTCCAAAATCTTTATTGTGATGAGGCAGCTAACAAAAGACACAGCTTGATTTGCAAATGCCACCCAGGGCTGGCAATGGGGCCAACTGGAAAAAAAAGTACTATTTTGAGCCATTTTATTGTCACTGGAGGAGAATATTCATTAACTGCCAGGCATATGGAACAACTTGATGTGGCTCAGTCCATTTTTGGAGACTCAACACTTAAGGGGTTTTATACCTCAGTACATCCTGTCACACAAGCAGAAAGCACTTTTTTCTAGTATGTATTCCTATTCCCTCATGAATTCTTCAAATATTCTAGGAACAAGTGATTTCCAAACTAAGTTCTCCTCTAAATAAAAAAATAAAGTTTTACTAGTTTTTAACTGGGACAAAATCTGGATCTTTAGAACTTGTTCCCACTAGCTGCAGCATAGTCCCAAGATTCGGTACATAAAAAAACAAAATTTATAAATGTGTAATGTTACATATGCAAAATGAGTAGCTATGGGCATGTTATTATTCAGGTAAAATTAAATTTCCATTAAATAGTATTAAATTTTTAATTTAAACATTAAATTAATTAAATTTTTTTGATTCAAAACAAACGCATAATGAAATGAGGACAGCAAGCTAATCATAAAGTGTGTAAAGAACTATAGGAGAAAAGCTACTGTATCGGTTGAAGAACATTAAATCTTGACATCACTCTGCTTGGAAGGGTTGAGATTGGTGTGAATTTGCAAATTTTCACAGCTGGTAGGAAAAGACAGACTTTGAGCCAAAGATTTGAGAACAAGCAATTTATCTGGGAGATGATCCCAGGAACCACCAGGAGGAGAGCAAGAAAGAGAAACAGAGAAAGAAAGCCAACCAACAAAATATGTCTTGCCATTTACATTGCCTCTGTGGGCCACTGAAACTCAAACCCAAACTCATATCTCAGAGCCTGAGCACCTGAGGGGGAAGGGAGCTGGGGTATTTTTACCCTAATTCCAATCTACGTAGTATAAAGAAAATTAATGTTTTCATGGCTGTTAGGAAAAGAATAGAGCAGTAGAATGCTCATCTGGGTTCCTGCCCTAGAGTCAAAGATTCAAGTACAACAATTTATTTGGGAATTGACAGATAAAGGACCAATAGGCAAGCAGGGACTTGCCTGAGGAAGTAAAGTCTGCTTCCATAGTGTGAATTTCCTGCCACTTCCTGCTTCCTTCTCATACTGGGGAGAGTGGCCTCCATACCCTGGGTAAACCCTCACTCAGATACAGCAGTAAAGATTCCAGAAGGAGGAAGTTATCCAACACACACACACACACACACACACACACACACAGAAACACACACACACTAAAGCCTGAGAGATATGAATAGGTCTTTGATAAATCTCTAAAGTGATCATTCACTAAATAACTAATGAGAACAAATTGATTATGTATCTTGGCAGAAGACAACCTCCATTACTGGAGGTTTTAGTTAAAGCCATCCAAGATAAAGCCGGACTTAGGGTGGGGATGTAGCTCAGTAGTAGAATGCCTGCCTGCCTAACATGCATGAGACGGAGGTGGAGAGAGGCTGCGTCTGGGTTCTGGGTCAGCCACTGATGAAGTTTAACCCTTGGATGAGCTGGGGCAGGGGTGAAATGGAAAGAATGTCACCTGTCCCAAGTTAAAAGGATAAAATGAGATAATATATATGAAAATTCCTTGAAATGGAAAAAGTGCTAAACAAAAATAGAAGACATGAGACACAACAGCGTGTGCTCATTTGAAACACAAATTTTAGTTCATATCTTGGAGAAATTATATTTCCTTTAACTGGAGACTTTCATTAGAAAAAATGTAACAGTAGATCACAGCACACTTAGAATCTTCTCTGGAGCCCCATTCTTTGTTGCTGTTAATAGGAAGAGGGCAGCAAAATGGGCTGATGACTCTTAGTTATAACAAAGATTATAACTGTTGAAGATTTGTGGATCCATCCCCACTTTACTTGGAAGTCTATAAGAGTGGCTTCCTGGGGAAATTGCACAAAGTTGATTTTTAAAAATAAACAAAGAGAGAATGGAAAGAGAAACAAAGAAAGAAAAAATATGTTTTTTTGGTTTTGGTACCAGGGATTGAACTCGGGACCTTGCACTTGCAAGGCAGGAGAGAAAAAATATGTTAACCTGCATTCTAGATTATAATTACGTGTTCCAAATAAAAATTAAAGTGAAGAAGATAAGAAACATTTTCCTATTTCCTTCACCCTGTCCCACAGCAGCTGACTTTAAGTAAAAATATTGAACAAAGTCAAGAAATGAAAAACTTCGAGATTTCATATGAGTTTTTGCTACACATACTAGATGATGTGTGGTTTTTAAACCCCGGGTTCAGTTTAAATACTGAATTTCTTCCCCGGCTTCCCACAAAGGATATGGGATATCTTTTCTAGGATAGAAATTTCTAGGATAGGAATTTCCCATTCATTCTGTGCAAGGAATGCTCAGAAACACACTGGAAAAGGTGATATCTTTTCAATTTGTTTTTAAGAACAGGAGCATGAGGGACTTACTCTGTGTGTGGCTCTAAACTAAGTACATCACAGTGATGCTAATATTTAACCCACTCAACAATTCTTTGAGTTAGATACTGTGTTTATACCATTTTATGCATGGGAACACTGAGCCATAATAAGGCTATTTGGTGCCACCTTCAAAGAAGAATACAAGCACGGGAAAATGACAGGGAAGTTCACAGTTCAGGATTGTCTTAAGGTGAAAGTTTCTTCATCACTCCTGGGACATCTTTGCTGAGGAGCAGGGACAAGTGGGCTTCACTGTGAAAAAGTAATGACCTCAAATCTATCTATGAGGAAGGGCATCAATGTCTGTATAAGGGAAATGCCTCTCTATCCACAGCTTCGTGAGTTCTCATGATGCCGTGAGTAGTAACAGTCAGACAAGGTCTGTACACCATGTGTGGCTTTCCCATCAGGGGACACAATCGGCCAAATTGCCACCTGCTCTTGTCTAGATTGCCAGGTCCTTTGCCACTATCCAAAGTATTACTCTTCCTATTTTTGAACAATCTTGATATAATCTTTCAAACAAGAGAAAGCAGAGCAATTCAAAATACCCTGCTTTTACCCTGGAGAGACTCAAGGATGTGAATGTCCAATCACAAGGAAATAATAGCTTAGCAATGGCAATCAAGTCACTGAACACTAATTCATCAAGGCACTGCATGAAGCACTTTACATGCCTTATCCTGGTGAAACCTCAGGACTGTCCCATGTGGGAGGTATTACCATTATCTCCATTTTGCAAATGAAGAAACAAGGTTTACAGAAGCAGAGAAATATACCCAAAGTCACCTGCCTGGCCACATCTGTCTGCCAAAGAACCCAAACACTTAGACACAGAGACACCTGTGCATGCAGAAAGCCCTTGTGTTTGAGGTTACCACCTTTCACTTGAAAATCCTAACACAGACAACATTTCAGAATTGATTTCACTATTTCATATAGGTATAAGCTAAGGAAGTTAAAAATGACTATTTACAGTAGACCTATAAGGTTTCATCAAAGACATAAACATGGAGCACTTATTGCTGGGATTAAAGTTTAAAAGCATATACAACTCTTGAAGTGTTTTTTTTGTTTGTTTGTGGTGCTGGGGGTGGAACACAGTTCCTTGTGCATGCTGAGCATGTACTCTACCACTGACCTATAGCCCAAGTTCTTTGAAGTCTTGATTTGAAAACTTCATTTGTTAGATTTTGGCTTTGTGTACGTGTATGTGAGTGTAAAACCCTGAAATACTGGCAGGATTTCACTGTAACTTGCACTTACTCTGAATTGGGAAAGCCTTCACTGCAAGTCCGCTATGTCTGGCTACCCCTGTCATTTCTGTCCACCATCTGAGCCCACAGGCATTTGTATAAGATGGGATGAACCTGGGAATTGCTCCCTGAGGGACCTTGGGGAAGGAGACAGAAGATGCCCTGTCTGCTTCCATCCAGCAGCCACCAGCACTGTGGACATAAGCCATGGACTCACTTCCCAAGGGATCCTTGAAGAGCCACCATACCTGTGCTTCTGGGTTCTCTTGGTGGCTCCAGGACATCTTCGGGATGTGGGGTGCAGAATCCATGGAAAGGACCCAGGTCAAAGCACTCATGCAGCAGCGGCAGATTCACTCTGGAGCACAAGCTCATGAAGCCGACAGCCACACCTTCCACCTGGGACACCCAAGAGCCTAGTTATTGCATCCAACCGGTTCTCTCCATGACACTGCCACACCCCTTCCTGGTAGGAAGGGGCTAGTGTGCAGCACCATGTGTGACACAGGTGACATCCTCAAACACGTCCAGGTGACCCTCTAGGCCACCCTAGAGGTGGGTATAGAACTTAGGGATGCTGTCCGAGAGTTCTTGAGGGGAAGCTATTGGAACAAAACACATGCCTTCATCTTTAACCAAAGCCTTGCCTGACCAATGTGCCTGCCTTCTGGGGTCTTTTTCTTTTTATCCTATCCCAGATCCAGCCCTCCTGTATGCTCTCCCCCTCCACCATGCACAGAGGATGCTCTTACAATGGCCCCATGATTTGGGTCTTGACGAGGAGTAAACAGGTGAGAGGGAAGCTGTAGTAACTTGGTGATCTGGACCTGCTATTGGTTCCAAAATATTACAAATTAACAAAAGATATTAACTCTAGCATATTCTATATTGATAGATGACTGACTGAAATTCTTTATTTTGCCCTTTCAATAATTTTGTATGTCATTCCTTCTTTGCAAGGAGAGTATGTGAAATTTATAGAGAAAAAAATGTCTAGTCCTTTACATTTCACACACATAATTCCTATTGATTATGAAGTGGAGTTTAAGCAAATTCTGGTTTGGCTGATTAGACTGTTCTTTTTAAAGCATTTTAAATTGGTACATGTTTGGAGTGCATGGTGTTTACATTCTTCTTAGGTAGTGGGTATATGTACTTAATATATCTTGCTTCTTTTTATTCCACTTGCCCTCCCAACTCCCCTTCCTCTAATTCTAAATCCCCTTTCCCTATTTTCATTCTTATTGTTATTATTTAGTTCATAGTTGTGACATATAAAGATCACATTGCTTGTGAGTAGTTGGTTCATTTAAATGACCATCTTATATCATTTTATTCCCTCCCCTCTCCCCCCACCTTCAGGCTCTTGGTCCGCTTCCCATTTCCAAAAGATCTATCTCCCTGTTTCCTTTTATCAATCTTTTACTTTGACTGTTCCTACAGAGATCAGCACATACTGTGTCTTATCCTTCAAGTATTCAGACTTCATTTCTTGAAAGACCATCCCATTCAGACAGTAAAACTCAACAGTCATAGATTTCTCTATCCTGAGGGATACAGCATCTTTCCATAAGTGCTTAAAGCAAATAGCCAATGTTTTAATATTCTGAAGCAGAAAATCAACCCATATGAATGCTTAATCTTTTAGATGACACAGAAAAAAAATTAGACAGTAAACTATTTGTTCTCCAATAGGTCTTCCAACAAAAAGCCATTTGTTCTCAAGAGTTGAATTTGAAAAAATAAATGTGAGGTGCTCTTTATTTTTTCCCTAGTCCTGAAATTCAAGAGGAATTTTTAAAAATTACTTTTTCCATGCATATTCTTTTCTTTGCAAGAACCCCCAAAATGATACTTGCTGTAAAAGCCGGATTTACACAGCTGTTTTGTAAAGCCATTGACACTTTAATGAAAGTCCAAAATAAACATTTTAATTTTTTCCCCAAATAACAAGTGATTGTTTGTCTTGTTTGCACTGGTGAACAAAGGCTGTGTAGCCGCAGTTGTCTGGCTTCTCTGTAATTTTAGGCCCAAGACTCAGCAGACGCTGATTAACCGATCCATCTACCATATGTGCAGAAAGAGACGGCCAGCCTCACTCCCGGCAGGGAAAATTGGCATCCATCTTGGTTCACATGGAGATGTCCTGCTAATCCACAGCCGCGCTGGCGCAGGGACACTTCCATGGCCTGAAATACCTTTCGCCGGCTTCACGGCGAGCTGTGTGTGCATGATAAGAATGTATTATTTATAAGACCGCTGTTAGTAATGAGCTATTACACTAATGGCTCATTGTGTTTGGAATTTGATTTCAAATGGCATGGATCACACATTCTGATGAAAATGAGAGAAACATGTTTTGCCATCAGGAACAAAGATTTACCGTTTTCCAATTCTGCAACCTGTTATAGTCACATCATTCATCCCGTGTTGTAACAATTCACCCAAGTTCACAATCAGAGGGGACTACAGAGCAGGGATGCATGGTGGACGTAGGTGCCCCTAACTTGGGGTTTCTTTCAGATAACTGTCATGAGAAACACTGTTTTTAGGTATGTGGGAGTATCCAAATGCATCTTTATGCCGTATGTGTTTTCTGGAAAGATAAATGGATTTACAGACTTTCTTGCTTGCACAATGAGAAGGTGTTGATTGCTGGCTGTTATCTGTCTCCCAGATGATGGAAGTCTTTCCACCACAAAAGCATCCTCACTTATCTTCTACTGGAGGACAAAACTTCCAGTTCTGTTCTTGCTCTGGTTGGTCCTGTGGGGCTCTATAAAGTTTAGATGGTTGGGAAATCATGTGTGTGCTGGCCTTGTCTTTTAGAGACATGTGTGCACTTTACTATTTATACTTCCATCCAAAAACAAAACAAAACGGCAGCCACCCATCCCTTGTAGGTGACAAGAGTCCCCATTGTGGCCACTTCTGGCTGTGATCCTCTCCTCCCAATGCCAAGCACATGCTGACCTGGCAGGCTCTCTGCCCCCTGCAGGTCAGTGGTGCTTACTTGGACCACGGCTGCCCGTGCCCTGGATGGTGCCAAAGCAGACGCTCTGCCCATCTGTCTCTAGGAGCCACCCTTGGCCTCCTACTGCCTGTCCCTAAAATCTCTGCCTGGAGTAAACACCAGATGTCAAGGTAAGCCAGGGTATGGTCAGAACAAGGATTCTGCAGCAAGATCTTCCCAAGTAGCTACGCCACCAAGGTCCTTGCAACTAAGACCCTTCTGTTAGACAGTGGTTGTCCACGTGGCTCAGGCATAGCTCACAGGAGGTCCACAAGTGCAACTCACTGGGCCATGGGCTGGTTAGGAAAGTGAGAGAGACTGGGGGTGCTTTTCTCTGTCCTCTCTGCCCAGCGGTGCCTGATTGAAAGCATGGCGTGCCAGAAAATGTGTGAGCAGCATTCAGGGGGAAGGCTGATGTGCAGTACTTGCCAATTCCTACTTTACAAACACTCATCGCAGCCAGCTTCAACCTCCCATGTGATGTCACTGAACATGGAGTTGGGAAGAGATGTGTACTGGCACACCTTTAATATCATGCCCACAACACAGAGACAAAAACGCTAAAGAGCACAGATAAGAGTAAAATAACTGCAACTGATAAATTGCAAGCATTTGATGGCTTTATAAAAATAATTTATTACACTGTAAGTTTATATACTTTTTAATAACAGCTGTGTTTAACAAGCAGCTTGCAAAGTTCCCGAGGACTTAACCACTGCTCCATGGAGCCAGAGTGAGCCAGATTCAGCATCTCTATTTAGCTCTGAAGAACAGGGTCCAGGGAGGCAGCTGTCAGGGCTGGACCAGCATTGATACTGAGCTCCCAGGGGCTTCAGGCACCAGAGAGGGCTGGATTCAGATCGGAGATCCCCTCCCAGGTCCTGGGTCTCATCCTATCCCTGCCCTAACTTTGAGCCTCTGACACCCGCCGAAGTGGCCTGGCCCTCAGCAGAGATTGGACTCTCCCTGCCTCTTAAGAGAGGGCAAAGGGGCCTGATTAAGTTGGGCCAAGATTCTGGCCTGAGACGGCTCAGAATGGACACACCCTGGAGATGTGAAACAAACAGCAAAAGAGAGAAAGGATGAAGGAGAGAGGTCATGGCAGCCCCACGCAAGTGCCAGCACAGGTGGCTTGGGGGAAATTGGCACCTTGAAGCCAGGGAATGAAGGCCTTCTACACCCAGAGGCCTGGTCAGCTGAGGTGGATGAAAGCCCTCTCTGGGGTCCACATAGCCCAGTCCTAGGAATTCTGTCCTAGGAGTTCAAAACTGTCACTTCCCTCCCCTCCCCTCCTTGCTAACCAGGAGCTAAAGGCTGAATGAGAATTCATGAAAGCAAGTCTTCATGTTTAGGCTTGAAAAGATGAACATTCTAAAAATAAAATGAAAACCTTTTCGGTGAACTTACCTAAGAATCTAACGTTTATGGCCAGTCCTCCCCTTCATAAACCAATGCCCACATCTGTCTAGATGCACTTCACTCTTCACCAGATGTGTTCTGCCAGCATGGGGGTGAGCAGTTCACCACCTACACTACACCTGGGATCACTGGGGAGCTCTAAAAATGCTCTGGTTGTGCAGGGCACACTGGGGTGCACCTGAAGTTGCAGATACAGGGGCTGAGGCGGGAGGATTGCTGGAGCCCAGGGCTGGAACAGTGGGTAACGCAGTGAGACCCTGTCACAATTCATAAATAAATATTTTTTAAATATTCTGATTATGCTTTACCCCAAAAGATTGATTTAATTGGCTTGAACACACCCTTGCCATCAGGACTTCTTAAATTGCTATAATTCACCTATCACAAAAATAACATTTTAGAAAACATACAACCCAGTCATTTTTAGTATATGTGTGAAGTTGAGTAACCACTATCTAATTCCAGAACACTTTCATCTGCTCCTCAAAAGAAATCCCATGCACATCATTAGTCTCTTCCCCTCCCTTCCACCTCCAGCCATGATGTGCTGTCGCTATGAACTTGCCTAGGCTGGGCTTTTGCATAGATGTGATCATACAATCTGTGGTCTTTCTGTCTAGCTTTCTTCCCTTAGTGTAATGTTTTCAAGGTTTGAACATGTTGTAGCACGTGTCCTGCTCCATTCCCTTTTATTTCCTAATAATATTCCACTAAAGAGATATACCATTTTTTGTCTAGCCATCCTTCAGTCAGTGGACCTTTGGGCTGGTTCCACTTTTCAGATATTATGAATAATGATGATGTGTACAAGTCTTCGGGTGGAAATATGTTTTCAGCTCTAAGTGCAGAATTGTTAGATTGAAAGGTAACTCTACGTTCAACTTTTGGTGGACATGTCAGATTGTCTTCCAAAATGGCTGTGCCATTTTATAATCCTACCAGCCATGGGACAAAGGTTCTAGTTCCTCCATATCCTTGCCAGTGCTTTGTTATTATCCTTTCTTTAATTGTTCTAGTGTGGGTAAAGTGGTATCTCACAGTGGCTTTGATTTGCATTTTCGTAATGACTAATGATCTTGACATTTTAAGATAATGAATGTTACTTCTTCATGCATTTATTGATGATTTATCTTCTTTTATAGAAATACCTTTTCAAATGATTTCCATATATTTTATTCAGATTACTGGTCTTTTTATTGTTGTAAGAGTTCTCTGTGTATCCTGGACCCAAAGTCCTTGGCATGGGGAAGTCTCAAAGCCTCCCAGGTTATTTTCATATGCTCCAAACTTGAGGAGCCCTGATATAGGAGGAAACCTCACACTGCTTATGCTGTTCAATCTGCAGTATGGAAGGAAGGAAGAAAGGAAAGAAGGAAGGAAGGAAGGAAGGAAGGAAGGAAGGAAGGAAAACAAAGGAGTCCCATTCCTCACAGCCCTATCATTCCTAACACCAACCAGTCACTACATATTCCATAATGATTCTGAGGTGCCAAAAGTCTCAATTTTTTTTTCAGCCAGACACTTTCCTCCACCACTGAGAAGATCCCACAAATATTTCTATTTTAGCCTTCTCAATTCTTTTCTAATATATTTTATTACTCCATACTAATTTTATAGAACATTGGGTTTCAATGTGGTATTTTCATACCATGTTTTGATCATATCCATTCCCCTATTACTATGCTACATGGCCCCATCCCCTTCCTCTTGTCTACTAAATAGTCTGCTTTTCTACTTTCCTGATATCTGGTTTTTTGTTGTTGTTGTTGTTGTTGTTTTGGTTTTTTTTGTTTGTTTGTTTTTTGCCTTAGATGCTACTTTAGGAAAAACATACAAGACTTGTCTTTCTAAGTCTGGCTTATCTTGCTGAACAGGATGATTTTTAGTTCCATCCATTTTCCTGCAAATGACATGATTTCATTCTTTACAGCTGAATAATACTCCACCATGCCTGGGCACCAGGTTTGCTTTCTGCCTTCATCTCCTGACAGGCACTAGGCTAGTTCTATGTCTTGGCTATTGTGAATTATGCTGCAATAAACATAGGTAGTATTCTCAACTGTTTTTTTTTAATTCTTTCACATTTTTTCTATTAGTGTATATTGGATCTACAGAACAAGGGTTTCATTTTGGTGATTTGTACATGTGCACAACATACTCTGAACACCGAAGCTCTGGGTGGAGAGGCAGCAGAAGAAAGAGGTCCAGGAAGGACGGTGACAGCAGACCCATAGTCACCAGTGCCTGTCTCAAGACCCCTGTTCAGGAGGCTCAGTTGCCAGAATTGGGGTCTTCTTTGACAAATCCTGCTGGGTGAATGCAGAGAAGGAACCCACTGAGCTGAGATTCCTCGAGGGAGGAGCACCCCTGGGTGGATGCCTTGAGGGGTATCAAGTGACAGAAGGTCATGAGAATCTGGGAGCTGTCCCACCAACCCTGGGTCTCTGGTCACCTGCCCAGCTTATTAGCTCTCATCTCTGTCTCTTTAGAACACATAGGCCTCCAGGGTTCCCATGCCGAACCCAAGGCTGTGGGTTTCAACTTTTGGACCCAAAACACTAGTCTTTCTGACTTTTTAGAAAAGCTAGAAATTCTAATTGTTGTATATACTTTCCTAATTTTTATATTAGCCACTAATTCAACAAAATTTCATCACATATAACCTGGATCAAATCATGAGCTAACATTGGACAAATCCAACATTTACAAAACAACTCATCTGTTTCCTTCAAAAATGTCATTGTCATGAAAGGTGATGACAGACCAGGGAATTATTCCAGATTAAAAGACACTGAATATGGAGCACCAGTGGTGCAATTGGTTAATGTGTGGTACTTATATAAAAGACACTGAATATGAATGTAAACATCATGTACTAAAAACATGTATGAATAAAACAAACAAACAAACCTGTCCTTAAAAAAAAAGACACTGAAGACACAGGGCACCTGAGTGCAACAATGACCTGGACTTACTTTGGCCACAAATGACATCACTGGGACTATGCATAAAATCTGAATAAGGTCTGCAATGAGATGGCCAGACTGTAAGTGTCATCACTGCTTGACTTTGATCATCGTATTCATTTAGAAGTACACAGGATGATGTCTGTGACTTTCTCTCAAATGGTTCTCGAATTAATTAGAGCAAGCCTATTCCAGATAAATTAGGGAGAGCAAGAGAATGGCAAAACAAACAAGGTAGAATGCAAACATCTAGGGAATCTAGGTACTTCTAAATTTTCTGTAAGTATGAAATCGTATCAATGCAAAAAGTCAAAAAAAAATCACTTCCAAGTCAAACAAAATCCATCTGCCAGCAGAATGCTGGTTTGAGACCTTTGATCCCTGACCTCTTGGGACCCTCAGAAACCTTCCTAATTGCCCCTAGAGAATCTCTCCTGTCCCCCTACCACTAGGAATTCAGCAAAACCTGCTGGGCAGCCTGGGCATCTGGAGCAACCCCAGACAGTGAAGCCTAAAGCCCAAACCTCTGGGTGGGGTGGAGGTGTCCTGGGAGCCACTTGAAAGGCCAAGGACAGAGGAGGCAGCTCCAGACACTCCACAGAGCCAGGAGCCAGGGAACTGGTTCCCCTCACTCACCACATCCTGGGGGATCGGTCACCAACCTCACACACGACAGCATGGTTCTCTTCGTCCTGAGCTTCTATCAGCTCAGCCAGGAAGTATTCGCCATATGTGTCCTTCAAAATGGTGTCATGGTGCATAAATATCAGCATGAGGTCGTCATGGTCTTCCACCCTGTCAACAGAAAGCTTACAGCTCAGAACTCATTCCTTCCTTCTTTCTGTCACTGGTCCAAGTACCAGGGACAGCAGTACTCTCCTGCCATCAGCTGGCTCTGAAATGGAAGAAACGGATTTGGGATTACAGTGACAGGGTTAGGTACTGGGGAAGACCCATGAGGGGGGACTCAAGCATGGACACTGAATAGAGGGAAGGGGAGGGAGTGACGTCCAAACCTGGCAGCAGTTGTTCCAGCAGAGGGGACACAACAGCACATTTGTAGGGGGTGTTCAGGGCAGCAATGGTCATGAGACAACGGACAAGTGGGGCCATCAAATCCCAAGGTGCCCCAAGGATCACTACTTCTGTAATGTTGTCCCAGAGCCCCTTCCCCACCCCACAGTGCCTGAAGCTGCTGGCTCCTCTAGGTCCCTCCAGGAGCACACTTAGGATCGAGGACCAGGAAGCACCAACGTGAAGGCTCCTGATGCTACCCTGTGCACTTGTCAAACATCGGCCCACGGTCTCTTCCTCCTGAGTCATCTCTGCACTGTCCACACAGGGGGTCACAAAGCACTGCTCACCATCCTGAGGATGCCACCTCACCCTCCACACTCAGGATCCTTACAGGGATCTTGACAGTTGGTGTGTGTGGGGGGGCGGTGTGTAAAGAACCAGGCTTAGTGCTGTATGGTGATACTGGGTCTTGAACTCCATTTTTTCATTTTTTTTATACTTAACATTTCTTTCTTCATTTTGGTACATTCTTGAGTAAATTTAGTGCTCCTTGTTACCTGTCTTACTATTTTCCTGCTACTTTTCCTGTAAAAATATTCCAGATCTGTATTACTTTTTCCTAGTGTATCTGATCTGGCTGCTGACCTTTATTCCACCACCCCTTTATTTCATTACTTTGCTTTTTTTCTCTCTTTTTTTTTTTTGTAGTTCTAGGGATTGAACCCAGGATCTTCACACTGACTTATACCCCAGGCCTTTTTTATTTTCATTTAGTTTTTATTTTTTGAGACAGAGTCTCACTAAGTCCCTAAATTGTCCAGACTGAGCTGGAATTTGTAATCCACCTGCCTCAGCCTGCCATACCTGGGATCACAGGCGTGCACCTCTGAGTGGGCCTGGCTATTCCTCAGCCATCATGGTTGTCCCATTTTATAGTCCACTACGTTCTCTTTGATGCTAATAGCAGCTCTATGGCATGATCAGTGTGTGTGCAAAGCTCAGGGCTTTGTGCAGATCATCCCTGCTGCTGTTCTCCCAAAGGCATCACCGTCACACTGCGCAGGTAGAGGAAAGCAGCCCAAGGTGGAGGATGAATGCTTTGCCCGAGACAACAGAAACAGTTGGCAGCAGAGCCAGGACAGACCTCAGGTTGCAGACTTCAGCCCTCCACACACACACAGCACATAGCGGACAATGCACTTCAAATTCATCTGCCTTTTGGCCTTTTCTGAAAGCTGGTAGCAGAAAGCAAGAGTTGATCGGTGAGGAGTCTTTGGTTCAGGGGTCCAAGGTCATCACCCAGCCTGTTCTGTTCTGACCTCTCCAGTCCCTGCTGGGACAACCCCAATTCTGCCACTGCCTAACTCCCCAAATCTAAATGCTTTCCACTGAGACCTCATGTTGTCTGTATGCTCTGAGGACAGCACTGTCACCTCTGATCATGCAGGCTCAGCTGCCAGAATGATGCTGGTTTCTCATCAGAACAGTGAGCACCGAAATGGAAGAAATGTACACCTGAAACCCCAGCTCTCTGCTCTATAAAACCTCAGAACCAGGGTGAGAGCCAGCCAATAGTCCAGGGTACAAAAGGAAGATCACACATGGAACAGACCACGAGAGGGTCCCCATAAAGAATTCCTCACAGGTGCAAGGACTGGATTCCAGCCCTAGCATGGGGGGAGGGGCATTCCAATGCTTAAAACAATAGCCTGCAGTGAGTGCACACTGGAGTGTCACAGCCTTGTACTAAAGACTCTGAGAAGCACTGTGCTAGAGTATTTAAGCTTTTTATGGTTTTCTCAAACACTGGCCTGTAGGTGCCAGTTCTACACTTGCCATGGAGGGGGAAATGCAGGTGAGGGTCCCTACACCGAGGACGTCCTCCTTATTCTTTCTTACCCACTTTGTTATCAACACTCTCTGAGAGGAGAGACGGCAGGGGGTGCCCGTCCAGACAACATAGATCTTTGTGTTTCTGTTTACTGTCGCCCTGACTCTGATGTGATTGCCACTGACAGGCTCATTCTGTCATGTGGGGCGTCTGTGGGGTTTTAGATGTGGGGCTCACAAAGGAAGTTTTCAGGATATGACTCTATCTCAGGAGTGGTTTGTGGCCCCTTGCCCATTTGCGTCATGCGCATGTGATCACTTTGAGAATGACCTGTGATCATTACCGGAAATGCACCAGAACCTCACTGGATGTTCTCTGGAAAAGATCAAAGCAAAACCAATACAGCATGGAGGCCACACTCCAAGCTGGGGAAACCACCTGCCTGGGTCTCTGTCCTGCCTCTCTGCTGCGACTCTGGGCACAGCACCTGACCTCTCTGGACACTATTCTCACGTCTGTCATAAAAACAGGAAATGGGAAGCTGAGCACATGTGTGAGCAATATTCACTCTAGCATAACCATCACTAAGGGAGGAAGGGCTGCTGAGCACACTCAGAGCATCCTCCTTACTCAGCAAGTGGGTGAGAGATTCTGTCTGCAGCAGCCAGGGCACTGCCCTGACCTCCTGCCACAGCTGTCAACAAAGCCCATCCTGCCCCCATCGCTAACCTTTCCTGCTCTCTTACTTGAAAACGTTGGTAAGGTACCCCCTCTGGGAGGGGCACAGAGTCTTTTGCCTCTGTCTTCCCATCCTTATTGATAACAGTGGCATGATTCTATTGATTATTATCCCTAAAGGGGGACTTCGCCATCTTTCCCCCTTCTCATTTCCATTTCTGTCTAGTGCTCTGACTCCCTATCTATTCAAGGTTCATCTCCACCCACCCCTCCGGGACTCCTCCTCCCAGCCTGTCTTCCCAAACCCAAGGTAGAATCAAAATATACAGTGAGTGTTTAACTTTTTAAAACTTATTACAGGAAAAGACATATTGCTCTTAATCCCCATCAAAATAACAAAAGATTCCCCCTCGCTTTGAACACACCCTATCATTCTTGCCACATTCTGAAGCAGTTCTGGAAGTTCTCTTACATGAGTGTCTTTATGATGAACGATCAAAAAGGGTCAGTGCTGCTGCCAAGTGCCATCCAATGGAAAGCCAGGCTCATAAAAATATGACCCTGTGTCCTTATCCATCTTATTCACCGGCTCTGGCATCACATGACTTCTGGCTCTTCCCCAAAGTCAAAATGACCACAAAAGGTAAAAAGTTTGAATCAATTCAGGACATTGAGGCAGCCACAATGGCACAATTAAAGACATTCAGGAAAGAGAATTTCCAGAACTGCTTCAGAAAGTTTTAAGAATAATGGGATAAGTGTGTTTGAAGCCAGAGGGAACATTTGAAGGGGGATTCATGGCAATGTGTCTTTTACTGTGATAAAGTTTTCAATTTCAACATTCAACTATATTTTTCAGTCACACCTCTATTGTCTAGTTCTGGTGCTAATTTGTTTGGCCAAGGGGTAGCATCTTCCTGACCATGGACCATGCTTTTTGGGGACAGGGAAGGAGTTCTGTAGCAGTTCTACCACATGCAGTGCAGCAGTGACAACCAACCAGGTCTGGACCTGACCTTGTGCCCAGACCTCACCAAGGGCCCAGAGACACTGACCACATAGAAGGGGAGGGGTGTGACCACTTAGCCCGAGAAGGGGCTTCTGGAAGTCTGAATCACAGGCCCATGCTCAGAATTCTAGCTTTACCAACCAAGAAACCAGCCAGGTTTCTTCAATACTAAGCCTTAGGAAAGAAGGGACAAGGTAAAAAAATGGAAATAAAAGTTTTGAAAACAAGGAAGGGAAGAGGGGTTGAAGGGAGGGGAGAGGAATGGGAAAAAAGAAGCAAGATACATCATGTACAGGTACAAATTTCCTATGATGAATGTTATCATTATGTATATCAAAAATGTACCAATAACATTTAAAAAAATCTTAGTCTTGGTCTCTTCTCCCCAAAGGGTAGGACAAGGAAAACTGCACATATGACCTGATGATACAAACAATGCACTTCAGCCCACTCTGGGCACAGAAACCCTTGGCAAGCCATGCCCTCCCTGGGAACCCTCAGAACCTCAGCTAAACAACCTACTTCCCAAGAAACCTGCAAAAAGAGCTGTTGCTAATAGGAAGCGGCTTTTCTCTATACAAAGAGCCCTTCATGATTGTGTGCATGTGCACACACACACATATACATACACAAAAGGACTATAGAAGAGAATAGCCAACAAGTCTGCTTTTGGACATTTTAAAAACATACAAGTGGGCCAGGGATTTAGCTCAGTGGTTTTACCGCCTGCTGTGCAAGCACAAGGACGTGAGTTCGATCCCCAGTACCAAAAAATTAAAAATAAATAAATAAATAAAAAATAAAAACATAAAAGTTGTATCAATGCTCATTAGCAGGCATAATTATTTTATTTTATTTTTTGGCATAATTATTTTAGATAGCGGGAAAGCAATTCAACATTCCAGTCATTTTCAGTGGATCAAGACAGCACACTCAGAGGAGAACTCACATTCAACTGAGTTTATATTTATATGACGGACATGAAAATATTACTCTATAGATATAAAAATCAGAACTAAGTTTCAAAGAGATTCAAGGCCTCACACCCCTTAACAAAGTTATCCATGATGAGACCTCAATATTCATTCTTCTGGGAAAAGTAAGAGAAAAACATCAATTCTTGGCATTTTGAAGTCTCTACCGCAAGCCCTTTCTTAAAATGGAGAGGGACTGGGTCTGTCAAATGCACTCCTTGGGGTAATCGATAATTTATGGTCTTGCATCAGCCCAAGTGCTAATGATAAAGTATGACATCAGCCT